AACAAAGTTCATATTTTACCCAAAAAAAAGATGTGATATATAACATAGAATATGATGTGACAAAAAAAAAAATAATAATAACATAGAATATGATTGAACGATAGTTTTTTGACTCTCACTCTCTCGCTCTCAAATGATTACATTATTTGCTCGCCGAAATACATGAAATTTTTTATGGGAGAAAGATCAAGAACATGCATATATGTGACATATAAAAATATATTATCCAAGGTTAAATTTGTTGTTAACCTTAGTTATCATAAAATGTGTTGTTATTAATTATAGATATATGTGCAAGGATCGATCTTATATATTGATCAATATATGGATAGTCCATTCATGCGGCGAAGCAGCCAAGGCTGCAGTTGTAAATGGGTTCAAGAGTCAGATCGAGAATGTTCACCGCCGTTGCCTGGAATAAATATAGGTCTCATTATTGCATAGTTTTGGACTTGTGGTTATAAAATCATCAACACAATTAAAACAAACCCTAAATGTGAAATGTATATGATATTTTTTTTGATAAAGAAAAATGTATATAATATCATTGCGCATTTTTGTCCACCAACACTTTTGTGTATGAAAATTTGACATTTTGATGAGAAAAACAACAGACAAAATAGGAACTCTAAAAGGTAAATAATGATATACTACCGTTACTCCATATTAAGGAACGGAGATGTCTGATGAGTGATCATGAAAGGATGTAATTGGGGTTGCGGTTGTTTTACGTGGCTGTTGTGCTGCTGTTGCTTCCATTGGTTCTGCTGTGTCTGTAGAATATTTTCCCTCTCCTTAACCTACCGATTCCACGCACAAACAAAAAAAGAAAAGAAAAAGATTACAAGCAAGCAATTAGTACACTAGATATAGCACCAAATATATAGGCATTATTTATATTTTACCATTTGTAACTAATTAACTAGTTGTAGTTTGATTAAAAGATCTCTCGTTAGTACTTTATTAAATAATTTGATGTTTTCAAACGAAATACAAACAACAATGAAATCCGCAAATGTTATGCGAAATTATATTTTTCAAGTGTATACACCATAGAAATCACTTGACATGGCGAATATCATTTTCCTGGCTTTCATTCGTTCTTAATCAAGTAATTTTTTTTTTTAAAAGGGTATTAGTTTCATTGTACGTTTTCTCACTTCTCAATAAAACTCAAATAGAGCTCCTAGCTATGCGTATGTGTGACTGTATGTGTAATAGACTATGCTTATGTTGAGAAGACAGTTCACGTTCAAATCTGGGAGGCAACCTTAATACTAAACGGACAAAGCCCACCTATACGAGCAGCTAGGCTCATGATTATTCCAATCAAGAGAAACTATATATTAACTCTTCTTTAAGAAAAACAAAACAAGAGTTGGTGCCGAAAGTGGGTAGCTTAAGGTAGAGGTTGAAGTGGAGTAGAACAGTGGAAGCTTAAATAGTAAAATACTTGTGAAACAGTTAGAAATGCAAAAAACAATGATCACCTGTTTGGCAAGCATGCTGTTTTCTTCCTGTATCTCCTTCTCCTGTCATTTCCACAAAGATGAAACCATTGTTAGCTTCTTTCTACACGCTCTTAGTTTCTACATCTATATATGTATTTTTATATTTATACACATGTAGTAACTATTTTTTTGAAACTTAAAAAGAACATCTAGTAATTAAACTATTAAAAATTTTCATTTCAAAAAAACATTAAACACTTATAAATTTGTTTCATAAACTTTTTCTTGGTAAACTCTTATCTTCTTTTATTTTATTTTTATTAATCTAAACTATATAACACACATACGCGACAGGAGAGACCGAAATGGTCTTAAATACCTTTCTTTGGAGGTTGTTGAGGGACTCGTACATGAGTTGATTCTGGATACAAAGAGACCAAGGCTTATTCATTC